TGAGAGATTGTCTCCAACCCAAACAATTCTGTGATTCCACAGTTCTGTGATTTCGACCTGTCTGATGGACTGCACTGATGTACAGAGTGTTGTCCTCCCCGTGCCCTGTCCCTGGGTGTACCCACGGTGTTGGTGCTGGAGCTGCTGTGTCACATCTGCGGGGTGAGGAGCTGGGGGGGTCCCAGTGCAGCAGCCAGAGCCAGTGGGGTCCTGGCCTGGGCGCTGCCAGCACGGTTCCAGCCGGGCCAGCCCGGGCCAGCCCGTGTTTCTCATGAGGGGGACTGGCAGGTCTTCACTGAAGCGACAACTTTCGGATCCTCCTTCGAGCCCCGGGCGCGTTGGGGTGAGTCGTGTGGGGCTGCCGAGCGAGGAGAGGGGAGCAGGAGCACAGCCCTGCCCCGTGGGTGCCACCAGTGGCACCTCACGGGCTGTTCTTTTCTCAGAATCACTGCGTGTCCCAGGAGCCACGTCAGGGTGTGGGTGAGGGACATCCCCGGGCCCTCCCCTCCGCTGGCCCTGGGGCGCAGATGGACCCAGCCCAGCCAGCTGCTGCCCAGCGGCCAAAAAGGAGTTAAAATGAAAAATTTCACGTGTTTCTCTAAGAATATGAATGCAGACAGCGTGTCTCAAAGAGGAATGTCAGCGACAAAAACATCTCCTCTTGCCCAGGGCTGAGGAGTCTGTGCAGGGGGTGTGGGCACTGCCAGCCCATCAGCGTGGGCATCGCTGGGGATCCAAGGAGTGAGCAGTGCCAGGACACAGGGAATGGCTTCCCACTGCCACAGGGCAGGGATGGATGGGAGATTGGGAAGGAATTGTTGGCTGGGAGGGTGGGGAGGCCCTGGCCCAGGTTGCCCAGAGAAGCTGTGGCTGCCCCTGGATCCCTGAGAGTGCCCAAGGCCAGGTTGGACGGGGCTTGGAGCAACCTGGGCTGGTGGGAGGTGTCCCTGCCCATGGCAGGGGGTGGCACTGGATGAGCTTTAAGGTCCCTTCCCACCCAAACCAGTCTGGGATTCTGTGATCTGCAAAACCCACCATGGGCCAGTGTGGGGATGTGTTTGTCACAGAGGGGCTGCCCAGGGAGGTTTGGAGTGCCCAGCCCTGGAGGTGTCCCAGGAAGGCCTGGCCGTGGCACTCAGTGCTCTGGGGACAAGGTGGGGATGGGGCACAGGGGGGATCCATGGGCTGGGAGGGCTTTTCCAGCCTCAGGGATTCTGGGATTCCAAGTAACAAAGTCTCTGTAGCTTTTCCTTTCCTCACACCTGCCACCATCTCTGGTGGTTAACAGGAGCACGTGCTGAGGTCCCAGGACACGAGATGTGACCTGGGGAACGAGCTTCAGGACACAAAATATTCGACACACAAAATGTTCCCACCCCCTGCTCTGGCTCCCTCCTGGGGAAAGGGGAGCTCTGGTTCCTCAGCCTGTCTCCAGTGCGGGTGTTGGCACCGAGTTTCCTCCTGGTTTTTCACCTTCACGGGTTGTTTTTCCTTCCCTGGGCGAGGCTGAGGCTCAGTCTGGGAGGAGGAGGAGGAGGAGGAGGAGGAGGAGGAAGGAGCCGCTGTCTCTGTGCCATGTCTCACAGGCTGCGCTGGGAGCACGAGGGGCGGGTATTTTTTGCCACGGGTTTAATCAAATTCAGACACTCCTGCCTCTTCCTGGGCATTTTCAGGTGGTTTGTTTTAAGGTTCAGTTTGAGGTTTGGTGCAGGGAACGGAAGCTGCTGGTGTGACACGTGCGTTTTTGGGTGATTTTTCCATGGAAAGGCGCCGCTCCCCTCCCGCAGCCCCGTCCCTCCCGACGCCGTGTCACAGGGACACGTCACTCACGGCTTTCAATCCCCCATTAATTAATGCAGTTTCGAAATGACAATTTTCCACACGGCTGGGTTTTCGTGGTACTGCAGATACCGGTGTGGGGCTGGCAGGGAGTGGGGGATGAGCAGCATCTCAGTGCCAGGAGCTCCCCTGGGACCGGCACGGGGGGACGGGGCTGTCACCGTTAGTGGGGTGGTGGTGTCACCGTTAGTGGGGTGATGGTGTCACCGTTAGTGGGGTGGTGGTGTCACTGTTAGTGGGGTGATGGTGGTGTCACCGTTAGTGGGGTGGTGGTGTCACTGTTAGTGGGGTGATGGTGGTGTCACCGTTAGTGGGGTGATGGTGGTGTCACCGTTAGTGGGGTGGTGGTGGTGTCACCGTTAGTGGGGTGGTGGTGTCACCGTTAGTGGGGTGGTGGTGTCACTGTTAGTGGGGTGGTGGTGTCACTGTTAGTGGGGTGATGGTGGTGTCACTGTTAGTGGGGTGGTGGTGGTGTCACCTTTAGTGGAGTGGTGATGGTGTCACCATTAGTGGAGTGGTGATGGTGTCACCATTAGTGGAGTGGTGATGGTGTCACCATTAGGGGGCTGATGGTGGTGTCACCATTAGGGGGCTGATGGTGGTGTCACCATTAGGGGGCTGATGGTGGTGTCACCATTAGGGAGGTGTTAGTGGTGTCACCATTAGGGAGGTGTTAGTGGTGTCACCATTAGGGGGGTGTTGGTGGTGTCACCATTAGCAGGGTGCTGGTGGTGTCACCGTTAGTGTGATAATAGTGGTGTCACCATTAGGGGGTTGATGGTGGTGTCACCATTAGCAGGGTGCTGGTGGTATCACCACTATACGTGGCACTGATGGTGTCACCACTGGCAGGGTACTGGCTGTGGGACTGTTAGTGAGGTGCCAGGAGTGTCATCACGGGGTGCTGGGGATGTCACCACTGCACAGGGTGCTGGGGGTGTCAGCACTGTTTGAGATGCTGGTGGTGGCACCTCCGTGCAGGGTGCTGTAGCTGGCACCATTGCACGGGGTGCTGGCAGTGTCACCATTGCACGGGGTGCTGGCAGTGTCACCAGGCACGGGGTGCTGAGGGTGTCACCAGGCACAGGGTGCCGGGGGTGTCACTGCTGTGTGGGGTGTAAGAGGTGTCACCTTGCACAGGGTGTTGGCAGTGTCCCCAGAGGATGGGGTGCTGGCAGTGTCACTGCTGGTCATGGTGCTGGCACTGTCCCCAGAGGATGGGGTGCTGGCAGTGTCACTGGTGGTCATGGTGCTGGCACTGTCCCCAGAGGATGGGGTGCTGGCAGTGTCACTGCTGGTCATGGTGCTGGCACTGTCCCCGGGGTGCTGGCAGTGTCACTGCTGGTCATGGTGCTGGCACTGTCCCTGGGGTGCTGGCAGTGTCACTGCTGGCCGTGGTGCCGGCGGTGTCACTGCACCGTCCCCGCCGTGCTGGTGTCACCATCCCGTGTTGCCCCGGTAACTGCTGCACGTCACAGGGAGCAAACCATGAACAGGCTCAGAGAAGGCCACAAACCAAAGGCACAAACCCCAGCAGTGGCTCCGAGGGGCCGAGTAGCTCCATGCCCTCGGTGCCTGGTTGCTGAGGAGCAGGTGGCCTTTGCTTGGCAGTGGTGGGGGGACATCACTTAAACATAAATATAAATATAAATATAAATATAAATATAAATATAAATATAAATATAAATATAAATATAAAATACAGTCACAGGTCACAAACCCCCTGCAGCACAGCCAGGAACAGCAGGAGCCAGGCTGGGAGAGCTGGGGGGGTTCACTTGGGGAAGAGAAGGTTCCAGGGAGACCTGAGAGCCCCTTCCAGAGCCTAAAGGGGCTCCAGGAGAGCTGGAGAGGGACTGGGGACAAGGCCTGGAGGGACAGGACACAGGGAATGGCTTCCCACTGCCAGAGGGCAGGGACAGATGGGAGATTAGGAAGGAATTCCTGGCTGGGAGGGTGGGGAGGCCCTGGCACAGGTTGCCCAGAGAAGCTGTGGCTGCCCCTGGATCCCTGAGAGTGTCCAAGGCCAGGTTGGACGGGGCTTGGAGCCACCTGGGCTGGTGGGAGGTGTCCCTGCCCATGGCAGGGGTGGGACAGGATTCATTTAAGGTCCCTTCCAACCCAAACCATTCTGGGATCCTGTGAGTCTCTTTGCAAAGGTCCTTAAATGCCCAGCGAGGGGCATCACTTGGTGGGCCCTCCTCGTTCCCTCCCGTGGGCACCACACTGAGGACCTGCTGAGATCATATTTTTTTAAAACACGGAGCCCACAAGCCCATGTCTGTCCTCTCCTGTACTTCCCTTTTCCTCACATCAGTCCCTCTCCTTCCCCTGCCCATCACACCAGTGCCCAGCCCTGGGCTGAGCTCTGGAGGCTTCACTGGGGCAGAAACTCCTTCCAGAGTGAACATTGCACAAGTGTCCTCTGAGCCTTCAATGGTTCTGTATCTGTTTGGGATTTGGTGTGAAATCCAGGAGGATTTGAGTCCGTAGGCAGCACCTGGCAGACCCTTGGGGCTGTCCCTGGCCTTGAGTAGGGGGGGCACCAGAAGCTGTGCCTGAGACTGGCACCCCTGGAGCAAAGCTGCTCTTGAGGCTCTTGGGGTGGCACAGCAGAGATGGGGTGGGTTGGGCTGGAAGAAAACCTAAAATAAAACCTTAAAATTCACTACGTTAGTAATAAGTAAAGCTATATAAGGATACATAAAATATAAAAATACGCGATGCCTACGAAAATAAATGAAATACACAAAAACGCATAAAATACACGTGTAACGTGTGTGAACGCTTAAAACACGAAATGCGCGAAATTCCGAAAACAAAACACATGAAAGTATCAAAATTTATTAAAATGCATAGAAATAAATCAATGAAGTGCTGACGAGGTCCTCCCACGGCTCCCCCGCTCGTGCATCACGTCGTCACTCCAACCCAGAGCGTGTGTTCTGGGGAAGAGCCTCTTTCCTTGCACGTTCCCTTTGTTTGTTTGTTTGTTTGTTTGTTTGTTTGTTTGTTTGTTTGTTTGTTTGTTTGTTTTCACGGAATTATTTTTAGCCGTTTACCCAAAAAAGAAAAACAAACAAAAGAAAAAGAGATAGAGATATATATAGAGAGAGAAGAGCCGTGTGTAACGTGGGAGGGGTGTGTGGTGTCTCCGGCAGGCGCAGGCGGCGGGCTCGGCCCAGCCCTCGCCCACCCACGGCCGCCCCATCCCGATGCCCGTCAGGTCCAGCTCCGCAGGGTCCACCCCCACCCACGGCCCGCAGGACGCGCTCGCCGGAGTCGGGGGAGACGTCCAGGAGGCCTTCACACAAGGTGAGGGGCTGAACATCCCCCAGGCACAGGAGGCCTTCACACAAGGTGAGGGGCTGAACGTCTGAACGTCCCCCCGGGCACGGCCGCGGCGTGTCCCACCTCGTGTCCTCGTGGGAGACGGGGATGCGCCGCGGGTATCGGGGAGAAATCCTTCCCTGGCAGGGTGGGCAGGCCCTGGCACAGGCTGCCCAGAGAAGTTGTGGCTGCCCCTGGATCCCTGGGAGTGTCCAAGGTCGGGTTGGACGGGGTTTGGAGCGACCTGGGCTGGTGGGAGGTGTTCTGGAAGGAGTTGGCACAGGATGGGCTTTAATGTCCCTTCCAACCCAAACCGTTCCCTGGACTCAGCACTGGGGAGGCCACCCCTGGAGTGCTGTGTCCAGCTCTGGGCCCTCAGCTCAGGAAGGACATGGAGGGGCTGGAGCAGGGCCAGAGGAGAGCAACGAGGCTGGGGAAGGGACTGGAGCACAAGTGCTGGGAGGAGAGGCTGAGGGAGCTGGGGGGGCTCAGCCTGGAGAAGAGGAGGCTCAGGGGAGACCTCCTCACTCTCTACAACTCCCTGACAGGAGGGGGGAGCCGGGGGGGGTTGGTCTCTTTTCCCAGGAACCATCAGCAAGACAAGAGGGCTGGGTCTGCAGCTGGGCCAGGGGAGGGTTAGGGTGGAGATTAGGAAGAATTTCTTTGCAGAGAGGGTGCTCAGCCATTGGAATGGGCTGCCCAGGGAAGGGGTGGATTCTCCATCCCTGGAGGTTTTTAGGATGAGACTGGATGTGGCATCAGTGCCATGGGCTGGGAACCACGGCGGGGTTGGATCAAGGGTTGGATTGATGATCCCTTCCAACCCAGCTGATTCTATGGTTCTGTGATTCTGTGATTCTGTGTTCAGCAGACACGTAACTCACCATATTGAGGCAATAATTACAACCCCCTCTCCTGTTCCCCAGCCCAAAGACTTTGGGGGCATATTTAGAACCTTTTGAACTCAACGAAGTTGTTACTGTGAGGATGATCTTCCCTGCAAGGAAAGGATCTTCCAACCCAGCAAGTTACGCCCCCAGGTAGTTTAAGAATTGAACGTCACAAACTGGTCGTATTTACAAATCTGGTGACTGAACTATGAGGGAAAAGAACAGTTTAATGACCGAAAGCAGGAAAACCATCAGCCCTCCAGCCCAGAGCGTTTAGCCACCAGCAGCAGCAGCCAGAGGTGTTTTCAGCCCCCACTCTCTGTGGGCAGTGGGAGTTCAGACTCACCTGCTGCTCTCACTGCTGAACATGAAGAAGTTTTGCGGTCACACGTTTCAGGAAAATCCACGTTTCCTGTGTCAGGGCTGTGTCAGCCCACGGGGGCTCCAGAACGTGCAGACCAGCAGGTGAGGTGGACACTCGCTGAGCTCTGCCTCAAACACCAGAAAGGTTTTGGCCGTGGAGGCAGCGAGAGGACGGGACTGTCAGTCTGGTGTCAAGGAACTTGGCAAATACTGTGTCCCCTTCAGGGACCATCTCACTGCAAAGGAGGAGAAACTGGTCACTCTTCAGTCCTACCTATTCCAGCTCCACTCCTGGTGAAGGAAGCCCCTCCCAGCTGGAAGGGGTGCCCACACCCTGCATCTCTCAGTGGTGGCACTTGGGGTTTAAATGCTCTTTTCTCTTCTCTTGCCCATCTTGGTGCAGAACTCTTCATCTTTAGTGCTCCAGGAGCATGCTGGGGTGTAGAGCTGTGAGAAAAACAGCAGCAGGGCCTGGTCTTCCACATCTGACAGGTGTGGAGGTTCTTTCTAAACATCACATCTTTGAAAATGGACATCCACCCATCTCGGTTGGTCTTGTCAGTGTCAGCAAAAGAAAGAAGGAAGGACAGAAAATCCACCTCTCCCTAAAGCACAGGTGAGGACTTCACCCACGTGTGGGCAAAGCCAAGGGGTGGGCAGCAACTGAGAGAAGTTGGAGTCAATCTTAGAGGTCTTTTCCAACCTTAATGATTCTGTGATTCTTCCTGTGGACCTCGTGGTGCTTCCTGGGAAATCCCATTGGGTATCAGGAGTCGTGGTCAGCCCTATGCAGTGAACAAGAGCCCTCACCTCGATGCAGGGGTGGTTTATTTCTTTAAAAGATGACAGGTCACCTCCTGTGGAGTCACAGAGCTGGAGGTGGTTTCTCATTCCGGGGAGGGAAGATTGTGAATAGAAGCATCAAATCCCTTTGTCAGATGGATGGGCTCCCTCTCCAAACAAACCAAACATGGAAATAAACCTCCCAGAACTGACACCGCATCTCCAAACCAAACAGATTTTAAATAGCAGTTTGCATTTATCAGGTGCTCAGTGGATGTATCCTCCTGGAATGATCTGGAACAATCTTCCCCACTGCCTAAATGAGCTGCTGCCAGCAGAAGGTGAGGGAAGGAAGAGGCTGCGAAATGGCAGCAGAGGAGCACAGGGGTGCCAGTGAACACTTTGAGTTGGTGCCAGTGGACCCTCTGAACTGGTGTGAAATTGGTGCTGCAGGGAGGAGCAGGAGCCCTCAGCCCCAGAGCCCTCGGCACAGGGAGCGGCCTCTGCGTCGTCCCCTCCGAGATCCACAGCCCCCCTGGGAGAAGGAGGTGCCTTTTCCTCCTCCCTGTGGGTAGGAAGAAGCTCCTCATCGCTGAGCACTCCCAGCACCGGCAGCAGAGCAGGCATTTCCAGGGAGGCAGGGTGCCAAATACCAGAGGCGAGCGCTCCATCTGTTGCTGTGGGTGGTCCAGTCGCCTCCTCTGCATCTCCACGGCAGGTTTGGTGGTGCAGCGAGAGCTCCCCGCTGATTCCTCTGGCAGCTGCCTGTCCTTCCCCCCGGGCAGGGTCCCCTTCTGTCCCCAGGACACGTGAAGTGGAGCAGCAGCACCGAGAGCCCGCCCGGGGCTGATCTGCTGCTCGGGGTGACAAACGAGTGACGATGGCAGGACGCAAAACCACTGGATCTCTCCTCGTTTTCCAGCCTTCCCCAGGCATCCCGGTTCGCTCTGTGTCCATCTGCCTTTCCCTGGGAAGGTGCAGAAGCCGTGACAAGGCAAACCCCTCCCTGCAGGGTCTGCAGCCACCAGAGCCGAGGTGATTAATCAAGGGCTCGTCGCTGCCTCTCCCCTAACGAGGCTCCTTCGTCAGGACCTGCCGATATCGCCCAGAGTGAAAACCTGTGGTTTCTCCAGGTTTTTAACAGCTGACAGCACCTCAGAGATGTGTTGCAACGAACCAGGTGTTGTAGAAAACTATTCAGGGCTGGGCTGACGTGCTGCAGCCACGTCCCGGCAGCGTGGTGGGGACTGGGACAGCAAATCCCCAGGAATCCCTCAGCACACGGATTTTATGGGCCACCTTAACAAAAACATTGACATTATTTGTGCTAACTTCTGCATGTCCACCAGATTCTTATTCAATGTGACAGTGGGAGAGAGGAGCAGAAGGGAGTGAAGCTCTGGGTGCTGTTCCACCTCTTCTGTGACCTTGGAGTGGGCAGAGAAGCCAACAGCTCATCTTTCCTCCCAGGGCACGAATCTGTGAGCTTTCCCCATCAGCGTGGAAAATTCCAGAGCAGGAAACCTTTAAAGGGTTGGATCCCAGGGATATTCATTTTGAGGTTAGAAAAGTTTCCTCTGTAGGTGATCTCTTGATCTTCCACTTGGTAGAGGATTACCAAGACTGGCGTTTGGAGATCACAAAGTATGACTATTATAATAAAACATCCTGATGGTTTCTGGGTGAAATGTTCGGGTACAGAGGCCACCATCAAGTTATAAAATCAGTTCTGCTGTTGATCATCTCAACAGAGAAGAAAACAATCCCGTGGGAATTCTTGGATCCACTGCTGCCCCCAGAAAGGTGGACATTCCTCTCCTCATAACCACTGTGGTGGCTGATTCAATGACTAGAAAAACTCTTTCAAGAAAAAAAAAAAGTGGTCGCCAGACTCCGTAATAAGTTTCCTGGAAGGATCCTTCCGGAAAGGCAGTCTGCACAATTAGTGCTATTTCATATTAATCACGCAAAATCAGGCAAATCCGAGGCCGGTGGAGAACACAGGAAACAGGATAAAATGTTGATGTTTGCATGTAATAAAATCATTGGAAGTCCCAGCCCGGAGGGCTCGGGGGGCTGCTGCACAGGCACATCCAGGGGGGATCAGAGCATTATCCAGCTGTTCCACAGGGGGGACGTGAGACCAGGCTGCTCCAAACCCCATCCAGCCTGGCCTTGAACACTTCCAGGGGTGGGGCAGCCACCTCCGTGATCCAGGAGGATCATTGTGTTCCCAGCATCACAAGAGGCAACAAGCACCATCCCTGACCCACCTCTGTTGTGGCAGCAGCCAGTCTGATGGTCCTGGTGCCAGCTGTGTCCCCGTGCTGGTCCTGGACAGTTTGGGTCACAGGACAAGCAGGTCCCTCCAGCACTTGGAGTGTCCAGGCAGGTCAGTGTCACCGTGGGGACACCCACGGGGTCCCACTCCCAGCTGTGTGACAGTGAGGAAGAGGATTCCTCCCTCCAGCCATGCAGGAGGGTGAGAATTCCAACAGCTTTTGTCCCACTCAAACCTCAGTGATCAGAGGGGGAGGAGGGTGAGCCACCCCACCATGAGGTCCTGGGGGCTGTCTGTGCCCTCGTGCTGCCATGTCACAGGGAGGAGCACAAGGCAGCTCGTGCTGAGCTCATGCTGAGCCAAGCAGGTGCTCAGGGAACGAGGCGGAGCTGGGCTGTGCCAGGGCAAACCTCCACCTCTGCTGCTCTGGGGCACTGGGGGTGTCCCAGCACCACCCCAGGGAGAGCTGGTGGGGACGGGTTGGGGCAGTGGCAGCTGGCACAGGTGACCCCTGATTTCTGCGTGTCTGCTCTGCCCCAGGTACGAGGAGGAACCTGCGCAACGACCTGCTGGTCGCGGCCGATTCCATCACCAACACCATGTCCTCGCTGGTGAAGGAGCTTCACTCAGGTAAGGGTGGGCTGGGCAGCACAGGAAAAGGAGAGATGGGAGCCACGGGTTGGAGGTTTTTTGTTAAAACTAAAGCATAATGTGGGATTACGTGTCTGCGTTCTCAGCGAAAAATCGTGTTTATGGCCAACACCCTCGGCCTGGGCAGTGCTGGGAGTGGGCTCAGGGGTCTTGGAGGGCTTTTCCAACCTCAGTCATTCCATGGTTGTATCATTGAGAACTCCAGCACCTTTTGAAGAGGCTTCCCATTGCTTTTATCCCTGGTGGGGAGGGCAATACCCTGTGGGTGCAGCCCTGGCTGGTGGCACCACTGGTGATCCGTGGAGACAACCCCCTCCCCTGCCCACTGCTCCCACTGATCCGAGCGGGGATCACAGCACGGAGCTGCTTTTCCAGAGCATCTCCTGGGAGAGGGGCCACCTCCCAGGCCCACTTCTGGAAGCCAGAGCTCCTTAATGACACAGTCAGAAGCTGGAGCACGTTTTTGGAGTGAGTGCCCCCAAATTCCTGCCTAGTCCTGCAATACTTGGGCAGCAGGTGAGACCCTCTGCCATGAATCCTTGTCAGACCCTGTAACCACATTTGTAAAATGTCCATGAGGCCAATTGCATGCCTTGTCATTGAACAACGATGTGGAAAGCAGATAATTGTTTCCTCTGTGCCTCCTCCCTGGACCAGGGGAGCTGAACTCCCTGGTGGGGCCAGAGCAGGTCCTGTGTCACCCAGGGATGTGTCCTGTGGGCCTCGGGCCCTGTCAGCGATGGAGGTGTGACCATTCAGTGCTCCAGCAGCCTACTCCAGGAGGAATTTCTCCATGGAAAGGGTGGTCAGGCATTGGAAGGGGCTGCCCAGGGAGGTGGTGGAGTCCCCACCCCTGCAGGTGTCCAGGGAATGACTGGACATGGCACTGGTCTGGTTGAAAAGGCGGGAGTCAGTCACAGGTTGGACTTGATGATCCAGGAGGGCTTTTTCCAACCTAAATGCTCCTGGGATTCTGTTTCTGGGCTGCCTTGGCTGTTAAGGAAGAAGGAAGGTGTTGTGTGTCCGGACTGACCCTCCTGGTCCCTGTCCCACCTTGTGCTGGACCCACACTTGTGTCCCCCCAAACTCCTCCCGGGCTGTGACAGACCCCACGAGGCTCTGCCTGTGATGGAGCGGCCACAGTGATAAACAGGGCTGAGATTTTACTGCCCAGCAGTAAATCCCCCCTCTGCCAGCCCCGTGTCCCGGCTGTGGAGGCAGCTGGGAGTTAATAAAGTTGTCCATGGCTGACAGCAGCACCGCCAGCGCCGCGGCAGGGCCGCCTGTTCCCCCCATAAATCACCTCAGCTCTTCCCCCGGGGCTGAAACACGGAGAACAAACCTCTGCCCAAAGCACAGTCTGCAGTCTTTGGCTTTTTGTTTTCTGTAGCAGAGCAGGTGTTGTAGAATCATGGAATTGTGGGATATCCTGAGTTGGACCCACCAGGATCATCCATCCAACCCCTGGCCCTGCACAGACACCCCAACAATCCCCCCTGTCCCTCAGAGCAGTGTCCAAACCCTCCCTGAGCTCTGGCAGCCTTGGGGCCGTGCCCATTCCCTGGGGAGCCTGGTCAGTGCCAACCACCCTCTGGGGGAAGAACCTTGTCCTTAAATCCAGCCCAAACCTCCCTGGCACCGGCCCAGCCGTTCCCGTGGCCACCAGCCGTGTCAGGGATGTGCAAAGCCGTGTGGATCACAGGGCAGTGAGAAGGGAGTGAAAATGGAGGCACTGGCAGGCTCCTGCTCGAGGAGGTGCAGGGACCAAGGCAGGCTCCCCTGCAAGGGTGTCGTCTGTGTAAATTAGGAAAAGCATGAGTTATCCTCAGCTGACGGAGCCAGCGGGATTTCACACATCCCGTCCCGGAGGTGAGCTGTGGGAACAGACACCTCCCCCGGCCCAGCTCCCCCGGGCAGCCACGGGAGGTGTGTGGGGAGGGTCTGGGAGGCACCAGTGCCTGCACCTCCCACCCTCCCTGTGCCTCTGGTGCCTCTGCTCTGGCCCAGGGAACAGATTCCCTTGGGAGGGGAACGCCGCAGTGTCACCCCGTCCTCTGGGGGCTTCCCGGGATGTTTCAGTCTCTGCCTTCTCCTGCAGTGATGGCAGGGCAGGGTTAAGTGGGATCTCAGTTCTTCCCCCAGAGGGTGGTTGGGCACTGCCCAGGCTCCCCAGGGAATGGGCACGGCCCCAAGGCTGCCAGAGCTCAGGGAGGGTTTGGACAAGGCTCTGAGGGACAGGGGGGGATTGTTGGGGTCTCTGTGCAGGGCCAGGGGTTGGATGGATGATCCTTGGGGGTCCCTCCCTACTCAGGAGATTCTGTGATTCTGTGATAGAATCCTGGAGTCCCAGAATTACAGAGTCACAAAGTCACTGAGGTTGAAGATCTCCAAGACCACCAAGTCCAGCTGTTCCCCCAGCACTGCCAAGGCCACTGCTAACCCGTGTCCCCAAGTGCCACACAACAATCCACACAGTAATCCCATTGCTCCCTGTGCTGCTGAGGGAACACTGGTCCCATTTTTACTCTGTCTGAGCCTAAAGACCCAGGGTGCTGGTCTTCACACAGGAGGCAAGTCCAAGACCCAACACTGAGCTCCGAGTCACATCTCTGGTTATTCCAAATGCGTTTGGTTTTGTCCCTGATCTCCTTGGAGGTCACATTAAGGACCCCCTGGAGCCACTGCCGAGTGGGCTTGGGCTGTGTGACCCCCCATGTCTCACCATCCTGCTCCCAAAGCCACAAAGGACACGTTTATCAGGCCCCTTTGATCGGATCCATCCCAAACACCTCCGGTTCTCCATTGGAGGGTTTCTCCCTTTCTTTGCCCTCCCACCATGTGCTGGAGGCAGAAGTGCCATGTCCCTCAGGATAACCATCACCTGTTTACACAGATCTCCTCGAAACAAGTCAGAGCCACCATCTGGGGAAGAATGTGACCTTCTGCTCCCGCTCTGCTGTGCAAATCCGGGCCTGGCCATAAACTCACTCTGCTTATCCCCAGATAAACATAATGAACCCCCAGCTCTCACCATGAAACCAGTGAAATCCAGGAGGAATTTCTTCATGGAAAGGGTTGTCAAGCACTGGAAGGGGCTGCCCAAGGAGGTGGTGGTTAAATCCATCCCTGCAGGGATTTAAAAGCCATGTGGGTGTGGCACTTGGGGACGTGGGTTAGTGGTGGCCTGGCAGTGCTGGGGATGGTTGGACTCAGCGGTCTGAGAGGGCTTTTCCAACCCAAACACTTCCATGATTCTCTCTCTTCTCTCACCCACCTGTCTCGTGTCAGCTTTTCTTCTTTTCTTTTTTTTCTGAAGCAGAGGAAGAAGACGAAGAAGAAACAGGGAAGCTGCAGAATGGGAAGGACCGAGGTGAGGGGACAAACGTGTCAGAGCTGTGAAACATTTGGCAACTCGCTCCTCTGTGTGTTCACCACCTCTGGAGCCCCACGAGGAGCTCTGGGTGCAGGTGGATGGATCCAGGTGCAGGTGGATATCTCTGAATGCAGGTAGATAGCTCTGGATGCAGGTGGATGGCTCTGGATGCAGATGGATGGATCCAGGTGCAGGTGGATGGCTCCAGGTGCAGGTGGATGGCTCTGGATGCAGGTGGATGGCTCTGGATGCAGGTGGATGGCTCCAGGTGCAAGTGGATGGATCCAGGTGCAGGTGGATGGCTCTGGATGCAGGTGGATGGCTCTGGATGCAGGTGGATGGATGTGGGTGCAGGTGGATGGATGTGGGTGCAGGTGGATGACTCTGGGTGCAGGTGGATGACTGGATGCAGGTGGATGGCTCTGGATGCAGATGGATGGCTCCAGGTGCAGGTGGATGGCTCCAGGTGCAGGTGGATGGCTCTGGATGCAGATGGATGGATGTGGGTGCAGGTGAATGGATGTGGGTGCAGGTGGATGGATGTGGGTGCAGGTGGATGACTGGATGCAGGTTGATGGCTCTGGGTGCAGGTGGATGGATCCAGGTGCAGGTGAATGGATGTGGGTGCAGGTGGATGGCTCTGGATGCAGGTGGATGGCTCTGGATGCAGGTCAATGGATCCAGGTGCAGGTGGATGACTGGATGCAGGTGGATGGCTCTGGATGCAGGTGGATGACTCTGGATGCAGGTGGATGGATCCAGGTGCAGGTGGATGGCTCCAGGTGCAGGTGGATGGCTCCAGGTGCAGGTGGATGGATGTGGGTGCAGGTGGATGGCTCTGGATGCAGGTGGATGACTGGATGCAGGTCAATGGCTCCAGGTGCAGGTGGATGGCTCCAGGTGCAGGTGGCTCCAGGTGAAGGACCCCCCATGGCACAGGTTTTCCTGATGGCTCCAGTCACTGTCCCTCTCTCCAGCCTCTGCCACGGGCTGACATCATGGCCGTGGTCCCTTTGCTGTGTGTGTTCAGCTTTCAGGGATGGTTTTTTTCCAGCAAAGGTCACCATGCACAGAAGTGTGTGAGAGGAGGAGGAGGAGCTGCTCCGGGTGCTGTGGGAAACCCAGCTCAGGTGTAGGGATCAGACAGAACCCAAAGTGTGTGGGGAGGGGTCACCAGTGAAGTCTCTGAGTGGTGACACCATCACCTGCCCAGCCCCTGCCCTCGGTGACCTTGGCTGGACAAGTGTCCAGAATCCCTGTGCCCAATCCCAATCCCACATGGGCAATGCCATCAGTGTCACTGGAGGCCCCTGTCACCCCTGTCTCCCTGGTCTTCACGCCAGTCCACCCAGACTTTATCTCTGGTGCCAGTGAATCCACGGCACATTCCGCAGGAGTGATTCCAGCTGGGAGTGATCACCGTGGCCTTGGGATTTTCTGACCCCTGAGCAGGGTGGGGGTGGAGGGGGATCTGCCGGGATCTGCTCCCACCTCGTGCCCCACAAACCCCCACAGAGCCCCACAAACCCCCACAGAGCCCCACAAGCCCCCACAGAGCCCCACAAGCCCCCACAGAGCCCCACAAACCCCCACAGAGCCCCATAAACCCCACAGAGCCCCACAGACCCCCACAGAGCCCCACAAACCCCCACAGAGCCCCACAAACCCCCACAGAGCTCCTCACGGGCCCTCCCAGGGACGGGACCTCGCTCGGGGCTCACTCGGCCTCTGCTTCCCATGTTTCAGACCCAGACACGAGGAACAGCCTTGGAGGGGTTTGAATCAGCCCAGGCATTTGTCTGGCCTGAGCCAAACCCGATTCCAGCGTCAACAAACGGGGACTTTTCAGCCCTATTTTGTTACACACACGTTCCCCTCTGGCTGCGCCGAGGCGGCAGAGCTCACGTTTCTCCCAAAAAGAGCTCATTTCCCTGAGTTTTCCCATCCAGTGAGTTCTGCAGAGCATCCAGGTGTTTGGAAACTCTCTGTTCCTTTGCCCAGCAGTGTTTGAACTCGGTGGGAAGGAGCGCGGGAAGCTCGATTCTGGCTGAAACGGGAGCTCCCAAAGCAGGATCTCCCTGGCTCCCAGTCACAGGACCCTCTCTGCCCCAGAACATTCCTCTTCAGTGGAATATTTTAGATGCTTACCAGATGACCCGCCTGGTTTTTCCAAATATGCATTGTGCCTTGCATGGGAAATAGGGAAAGGGGGATTCTGAGGAGCTGGAATATGATGTATGGGAGCAGAGATGTAACACAAACCGCTCCGTTACTCATCGAGCAGCCGGGCAGGGACGGCTGAGACGTGTGTCCAAAAGCAGAGCTGGATCCAAAAGCCTCCGTGTGGAATGTAAATATTATCCCCGCCAGGGAAAAAGTGATTTCTTAATGTCCCAGAGTCAGTGAGGTAAAACCTGGCAGGGAAATCGAGGAATAATCAATATGTAAGTGCAGCCCCGGCGTGGGCACCGTGGGAGCTGCTCCAGCCCCCGTGGTGAGGGGTGTCAGTGCCTGGGGTGTGGGTACGTCAGGGGTGGGTGGTACCAGGGCCCAAGTTACCTACAGGGGTCTGTGGACACACGGACTCTGAGCTGTGCCCACAGGGAGCTGTGCCTGGGCTTCATCCCGGGCACAGCAGCCCCGGCTCAGCAACACTCTCCCATCTGGAAGGAGCAAAAAGAAACATCCCTGGCAGCTCACATACTCCCCACCTCCTGCAGACACGGACAAGGGACATGCTGGTCCTCATGGGAACTCCGCTGTGAGGGGTTTCAGAGAATCATCATGGAATGGTTTGGGTGGGAAGGGACCTTAAAGCCCACCCAGTGCCACCCCTGCCATGGGCAGGGACACCTCCCACCAGCCCAGGTTGCTCCAAGCCCCGTCCAGCCTGGCCTTGGACACTTCCAGGGATCCAGGGGCAGCCACAGCTTCTCTGGGCAACCTGGGCCAGGGCCTTATAGGGAAGAATTTCTTTCCAATATCCAATCCAAATTGATCCTCTCTCCATTTAAAACCATTCCTAGGGACATCATCATCCCTGGGCTTCCTCAAAAGTTTCTTTGTGGAGTTATTTCCTATTTCCCTGTGTCCCCATAATCAATCCCAGCCCTCTCTTCCCTGCTGGAGACAGTGACGTCCCCGCACTTGGTGCAGCTTCAGGGGGGATGAAATCATGCTGGAGGCCTCCAAGTTGGCTCCGTGGTCTGTGGTTGGGATCACGAACTCAGCGACGTCTTCGGAGACGTCCGTGAGTTTTCCAGGCTCGGAAGAGCCCGGCTGGGAGCTGGCAAAGCCACCTCAGCCTCGGCGTTCCCGCCGTGCTTGGGACCTGGCACTGCGTGTCCACACGTTCCCCTCTGCCAGGCTTTGCTCCAGGTGGGACGCTGGCTCTGCCAGGGCTGTCCTGCAGTCCCTGTTTGCAGGGCCCTGCTGCCTCTCCCCCAGGACAATGACACCTGAGACTCTCCATGGGCTGGTCCCTTCCTGTACTGACCATTTGGATTTCATAACCCTCAAACCACTGGAAAAGGGACTACAGAGCTGGGATCAGCTCAAACTGCTGAAAAAGCACAGTTTGCTGCCCCATCAGATTTCCTAGACAGAAACATCCAATTTTAAGTTGGATTTCAGCACGGGCACAGGCTGCCCAGAGGAGTTGTGGCTGCCCCTGGATCCCTGGGAGTGTCCAAGGCCAGGTTGGACGGGGCTTGGAGCAACCTGGGCTGGTGGGAGGTGTCCCTGCCATGGCAGGGGTGGGACTGGATGAGTTTTAAGGTCCCTTCACCCCCAAACTTCTGGGATTCTATGGAATACACCTGCCCTGTGGCAGTGATAAAGGTGACACTTGGATCAAATCAGTGTGTGCAAGTAACTGGGAGAGACTGAAGAAAACTGAAGCAGAGTCTTCTCCAAGGTGCCCAAGGAAGGCAAAGAGAGACAATGGGCACATGGAAACTCTGCTTGGACAGAAAAAGTACTTTTTTACCCCGAGTGTGGTCAAGCATAGGTGCTCCAAGAGGCTGGGGGGTCTCTACAACCTCAGGGTGAAGGTCCTGAGCAGCCTGTGGGGCTGACCCTGCTCTGAGGGGTGGGACTGGACAATCCCACCCTGGCCACGCTGGGATTGCTGGGCTCTGGGGATCAGCACTTTCCCACTTGCCTTTCAGAGGACTTGCTGTGTATCCCCAGCTGTGCAGTTCTGGGGGAGTCCAATTTGGAGGAATAAGAGGTGGGGGAGTAGATCCTTCATTTTATGGGAAATAAAATGATCCATTTCCTAACCGTGCCCTTCCCTGTGTTGCAGGTTAGGAGGGCAGCCGAGGCTGGACAGCAATTCAGGTAAGGACAGATGGATTTCTCTTCCCATCTCCAGCAGTGCATAGGCCTGAGCTCCAGTCACCTCCTTCTCCTGTCCTTCCTCTCCTGTTTCTGCACCAGGAACGGTCCCACCTGCCCATCGCTCTGCAACGTTCAAAAGGATGTTTTTCATAAATCCCAGAATGGTCTGGGTTGAAAAGGACCTCAAAGCCCATCCAGTGCCACCCCCTGCCATGGGCAGGGACACCTCCCACCAGCCCAGGCTGCTCCAAGCCCCATCCAGCCTGGCCTTGGACACTTCCAGGGATCCAGGGGCAGCCACAGCTTCTCTGGGCAACCTGTGCCAGGGCCTGCCCACCCTCCCAGCCAACAATTCCTTCCCACTATCCCATCTAACCCTGCCTTGTGGCAGTGGGAATCCATTCCCTGTGTCCTGTCCCTCCATCCCTTGTCCCAAGTCCCTCTCCAGCTCTCCTGGAGCCCCTTTAGGCCCTGGAAGAGGCTCCAAGGTCTCCCCAAAGTGGGAAAACACCGTTACCTCCAGTGAGAGCAGCGTTATCTCCAGTTTTGTTGGTGTCACTTCCATAGGAAGAGGCCTCATCAGGGATGTGGGACCCCGTGGTGATGGACACTGTCCAGACATACCAAACCCACAATCTCTCCCCTCAGAGAGCCAGGGCTTTGGGTTATACCAAGGCCCAACAGACGGACAGACAGACAAGTGGGGCCGAGGGCGGGAGGGAGCCGGAGCTCCGTGTGACAAGTGTGACAATGTCTCCACAGACCTGAACCAGATCCTTATCTCTCCCACCTGAAACCTCCTAGGAGGGCACTGCTCAGGTTTCCACACTCCCTGGATGTTTGCCATCATTCCCATCACTCCCCATTCCCGCTGGGAAGCGGGGTCCTGGCACAAAACCTGCCATGGACACACCTAGAATTGGCCAGAGAGGGACAGGGACAGGGGCAGGAGGGGACCCTCCTCTGGGACCTTTTCCCTCACGCTGTAGGTTGGGTGGTTGTAGGAACCAGGCAGGAGAAGGAATTTTACCTTTAACTGAGCCCCAGCCCCCTGTGGTCATGGGCCAGGAGAATCAGTGATGGATCCAACCACAATTTGGGATAAACCCACCACCAGTTCCTGCCAGTGTCCTGTGCAGGCAACTGGCAAAGGAGAAAAAAAGGGGATTTGCCCTTCCCGTCTCCAGCCGCTTCAGCAGCGGAAGGAGAGAACCCCAGAGGGGCTTGGGAGTCTTTCTAACAGTTTTTGCATTAGAAATTCAAGTCCTGCCTCATCTGGGAAACAATCTGGTAACTCAAGAAGGAGTGAAATTACAGTGTTGGAGGGGGAGCCAGCACAGGGAGCTGTTTGGGCCCCAGTGTGTGGCTTTTCTTCACGTCCCTCTACCCTGACGGCTCTGGAGAAAGGGATGTCTGTGACCCTGTCACCCCTCAGCACTGATGTGGAGATGAGGTGCTCCAGCAGGGCCTCCAACACCTCCCAGGAGCAGCTGACAAGCTCTGAATTAGAGACCACTGAGAAAATGAGAGGGGAACCACTTTCAGGCTTCTTTATCCTCCAGAAAGAGTGGGAAAGGACAAAAAAGAAAAGCAAAACCAACTCTTTAAATTGTGGTGGCTCTTCCACCTTGAAGAATTTCCTGCTGGAAGGGGTGGTCAGGCACTGGCACAGCTGCCCAGGGAGGTTTGGAGTGCCCAGCCCTGGAGGTGTCCCAGGAAGGCCTGGCCGTGGCACTCAGTGCTCTGGGCTGGGGACAAGGTGGGGATGGGGCACAGGGGGATCCATGGGCTGGGAGGGCTTTTCCAACCTCAGTGATCCCGGGATTCTCTGATTCCTCAGGTTCCTCCCAGTCCTGTGTGTCCAGGTGTCAGGGACTTAGGAGTTCATGGTTCCTGGTTCTCTGGGGTCCAAGGTGAGGAGCTCTGGGGTCAGGGGGACTCTCGTGGGGGCCACAAGCTGGGTCTGCTCCAGGCTTTCCAGGATGGCCCCAGGGGTGCACAGCCCCAGCAGAAGGTTCAGGAGGTCAGAGTCATGGAATCATTGGGGTTGGAAAAGCTCTGAGACCATGCAGTCCAACCATTCCCCAGCACTGCCAAGGCCACCCCTGACCCCTGTCCCAAAGTGCCACATCCACAGGGCTTTTAAATCCCACCAGAGATGGGGACTCCAACCCTGCCCTGGGCAGCTGTGCCAGGGCTGCACAGCCCCTTCCAGGAAGGAATTGTTCCCAGTATCTCCACCCTGACCCTGCCCTGGCACAGCTTGGGGCCGTTCCCCCTTGTGCTGTCCCTTGTTCCCCGGGAGCAGAGCCCAAACCCCCGCCCCCCTCCTCTCAGGGAGTTCCAGAGAGGAAAAGGTGCCCCCTGAGCCTCCTTTTGCCAGGTCCCAGCAGGGACAGGTGGCTCTGGCTGTGCCCCAGGGGGCTGGGCTGGAGCTCTGCTCCCCGTGGGTGCTGACGGGCGTTTCTGGTGCCGCAGGCGCGGAGGTTGCGCTCGCGACCGAGGGACGTCTCCCGTCCTTGGGAAGAGGCACGTTCAGCCCATCCATCACCATCGTGTGCAACTGTGACCGATCTCCACCACCTGCTGCCGACACAGCCCTCCCAAAGCCAGCGGGAGGGCTCTCCCACAGCCCCCCGGGGGGCTCTCCCCGGAACACCCGGAGGACTCTCCTGCCCTCAGGCCATTGCATGTTCCCTCGGCGGGTTCCCCAGCGACGACCACACCATGTCCCACCCGGCTCAGCGAGTCACGGGAGGCTTGAGAAAACAAAAAAAAAACACCTGAAAGGAAACTGCTGGTGGCTGTTCCCGCTCCGTGCACGGCTCCGTCCCGGCCTCCTCCCGGGCGGTGCCACCGTCGCCTCACACGCTGGTCCTTCCTCCTCGTGTGCATGGAAAAAGGGGTGCAGGCCCTCCTGGGGTCCCTCCTGCGTGGCATGAAGGGGATTCTCTCTCAAAAACCCACCTTGGAGTGGGGTGTGAGGTGTGTCCTCCCGGGGGGGGGTGCAGGTGAAGGGGTGTCTGACCAGGGGGCCGTGATGGGCCACCAACCTCCGGCATTCCCGGCCTTGCTGGGAGCAGCTCTTCAGGCTGTGGGAGCTTTCCAGGGGACCTGGGGAGGAGCATGGCCAGGCTGAGAGCTGCATCTCCACTCCCAGCACCGGGAGTTGGGTCCAGTGTTGGTTAAAAGCAAAGGAAATAAGGGAGCAGGGGGTGGCAGCTCCCCGGTGACCCGCGCTGGGCTCCTCTGCCATCGCTGGTTCCCAAAACCACCAGTCCCAGGCACGGGTGGTTTTCAGCATTTTTTTTTTCCCGTGGTGCTTAGGAATGTTATTTTTAGTGGAAGGAGCTGAGGGCCCTGATGCATCCATAAATATTTATGGAGGGTGATGGATGGAAGGGAGCCACAAACCCTGGGAGCGCCCTCGGCTCTGCCCCTCCCTGTGCCCACCCAGGGCCCACGGGAACACACCCCCTGGGTCCCCCCAGCCCACGGGAGAGGGGGAATAAACACCCGTGGTGGCCACAGGTTTGGTTGGATGTAAATGTTGGGAATGAGCTGCCAAGGAGGGAAGGGGAGCGATGAGAACCTGGAGTGGCACAGTCAAGTCAAGCAGGGATGGGAATGGGAACAGGGAAAGGGATGGGGATGGGCACAGTGATGGGGGACAGGGACAGGGATAGGGATGGGGATGGGCACAGTGATGGGGGACAGGGACAGGGATAGGGATGGGGATGGAGATGGGGGACAGGGACAGGGGTGGGGATGGAGATGGGGGACAGGGACAGGGATGGGGATGGAGATGGAGATGGGGGACAGGGACAGGGATGGGGATGGAGATGGGGGACAGGGACAGGGATGGGGATGGGGATGGGGGACAGGGACAGGGATAGGGATGGGGATGGAGATGGGGGACAGGGACAGGGATGGGGATGGAGATGGGGGACAGGGACAGGGATGGGGATGGGGATGGGGACAGGGACAGGGGTGGGGATGGAGATGGGGACAGGCGATGAGAACGGGGATGGGGACAGGGATGTTCATTACCATTAAGATGAGGGTGGGGACAGGGACAAGTCCTACAGCATCCTTGGCTGTGGCTATGGGCAAATCCAAGCACCAAAACTAGGGATGTTTTGCCAGTGGCTCTGCCAGGGTGGTGACAGCCATCAGGAGCTGGGGATGTCACAGCTGCACAAGGGTCGGGGTCTTCCCACTGCCAGCTGGAGGGCTCCCACCGACAGCACCCACCAGATCAGGATTGCCAGGGAACTCTGCAATTCCCTGGGGCAGAACCCACCTGGAGGAAAACGCACCTTAAAACATTTTCCCATAGGAATTCCTCGGGGCAGAGCCACGTCCCTGCACTGGTGTGCCCGGCTGGTGCCGGGGGTTAATGCCAGGAGAGGGACACCCCCCTTCCCATGGGGCAGGGAACAGGGATGGGAGCCACACGGGGACCCTCCCCAGCTGGTCTGTTGGTGCCATGCACAGGGACAGTGGTGGCCTTGGCTGCTCGTGCCATCCCCAAGGCCTGGCTGTGCCCATTGCAGCCGGAGTGTCCCCGGGGGTTGCACCAAGCTGCAGTGCCATTCCCTATTCCTGTGGGCACGGAGGAGCGCGGGAGCGAGCGGGATTGTCCCTGGGAGCGGGATTGTCCCTGGGAACGGGATTGTCCCTGGGAGCAGCTGGCGAAGCCGCGCCGGAGCCGATGCCGTAAGCGCGGGGAACGTCTCCAAGAGCAGCCCTTGCGAGCGGGGAGCCATGTTCTGTCATCCGCCAAATATTTAATAAATCCATCTTCTCCCCGCGGGGTGTCTTGTCCCTTCGCCATGTGGAAAAAAAAAAAAGGCGGGGGATCTCGTGAAAAAAAAGGGGAGAAAAAAAGAAAAGAAAAAAAGGGGGTTTTTCCTGCTCGGGGGCGGGAGCAGCTGCCGGCGCTGTGCCCTGGGGCCGCGGGGCAGAGCCGGAGATCCCCGCATTGGTCATGGCTGCGGGTCGCTGGGAGCGCACAGAGCTGCCAGTGTTCGGGCCCTCGGCACGGCGCCACAGCTGCCCTGCCGCCAGATGTGCGGGGTGTGCGCTGGGGGCACAGATGTGCCCCCAGCGCACACCCCGCACATCTGGCGGCAGCAGAACGGGCCCGGGGGGGGCGTTGAGGTGGCAGAGCCACCGATGGAAACCTCACTCCCAGAATCCGTGGGATCCCGGGTGCAGGTGCGTCCCCTCCCCACTCCCCAGCCCCGATTTGGCACTGCCCCTCTCCTGGTGCTCATTCGTTTTAGGGATTAGGTGCCTCGGTGGGAAAGCTCCGGACCCTTCCCAGAGCCGGGGGCCTGGGGAAGCTTCGTGCTGCACAGCCTGGCGTGGGGGTGAGAGCAGGAGCGAGAAATGAGAGCCCAGGGGCACCACGTGCCCGTGGACTGAGTGCCACTGCACAGCCGGCTCTGCCACCGTGGCACCGGCACTCTGTGGGGCACCGGCACTCTGTGGGGCACCGGCACTCTGTGGGGCACTGGCACGCCCCGGGTTCTGCCTGTCCCCAGCATCGGCATCGTCCCTGCCAGGGCCCCTGTCCCCCCGCGCCCACCGCCGCAGGTCCCTGCCCCGTTCCCCCCCGTCCTGGCCTTGCCCCCTGCCTGGGGACACGGACCCACCGCGGTTTCTGGTGAGGCCCTCGGTGTGCCCCGAGCTGCCCCCGGGCACAACTCTCACCTCGGGACCCCCCCAGCCATCCTGTGCCTCCCGCCACGGGGACGTGGGTGCAGACACAGGAGCGGAGCAGGCTACAGCCGAGTCCAGTGGCACCACTGTCCCCATCCCTGCCCCTCTGCTCATCCCACAGGCAATAACCCTTTCACACCTCATTAGAACCGCAATTAACCCCGATTACCCCCAGCTGCGGGGGGGGCGGGGCAGCTCCCGCTCAGCGTGAGGGGCAGCGGGTGGGCTCAGCCCCACGAGGTCTCAGGGTGACCCCAGAGTCCCTGCGCACACCAAGGAGACCCCCAGGGACCCCATGGAGACCCCAGGGTCCCTGCGCACACGAAGGAGACCCCCAGGGACCCCACGTGGCCCACGGAGAGCTCAAGGACCTCGTGTGCCCCAGGTATTCCAAACACCTCAGGAAGACTCCAGGGTCTCTGTGCACCCCAAGGAGCCCTCAAGGACCGCGTGTACCCCAGGGACCCCACTGATTTGCGGGGAGGGGGAGCCCCGACCCCCGCAGCCCCCCCCCGCCGGGGGCACCCGGTGTCCCCTCACACGGGGCCGGGGGCTCGTGGCAGCGCCAGCCCCCGGGGCTGGGGCCGCTCCCTGGGCTCCCCCGGCCGCTGCGGCTCTTTCCATCCCCGGATCGATGCCTCCGCTCCAGCCGCCGCTGCGGCTCCTGCCCTTCATCCCAGCCCTCCTCCCCTCTCCCCAGCGGGGTTATCGGTGGGCAAACACGGAGCCGGGCGGGACCCCGCGGGCGTGGCTGCAGGTGCGGGAGCCCGGCACGGAGCCTGTCCCGGCTCGGGGGGGCTGCGGCCCCTCCCCGGGGTCCCGGACCTCGCCGTGCCCGCCTGCCCTCGCACCCCCGTGTGACACACGCCCTGTCCCCGGGGACAGCCCTGCCACGTGCTCCCGGTGCCACCGGTGCTCCCGCACCCCACGGCTGCCGCCCGCCAGGGGTGGCACAAGCCCCGTGGCACTGGGGGACAGGGCCCAGGGGACACGGCCCCGCCGAGCCCCTCCCGGCACCCTCCTCCCGCGGGCACGGCGGTGGGTCGGGGGTGCGGGCCAGGGGCCGGGGGGCAGGCGGGGCCGCCCCCGTGCCCGGGCTGTGGGATGATGTGGGGACTGTCGGCCATTTCTGCTCGTGCAGGAATTCGGCGGCGGTTGCATAACGAGGAGCCCTCGGAGCTGGAAACCAGGTCAGGCGGGAGCGGGGGGAGCGGGGACAGCAGGGACAGCAGGGACCGGCCACAGCTGCTCCCCCTCCCCGGGCTGAGCGGCGGGAGCAGCACTGCGGGATCCACACGCCGGGAGTGGCACCGGGACACGGCACGGCCGCCCTGCTCAGCATCAGGAGTGCAGAGAGCACGGGGGTCCCTCAGGCCACCGTGGTGTCACATCTGCGTCCCTGGCATCCCCCTGGCTGTGGTGGCATCGCACCTGTAATCCCTTGGCATCCCTTGGCATCCTTTGAGCCACGGTGGCATCACACCTGTGTCCCTCAGGGTCCCTCAAGGCATGGGGCCGTGCCACCTATATCACTTTGGGTCCCTCCGGCCACAGTGGCATCACACCGGCCTCCCACCAGGTCTGGCCACGGTGGCATCATGTCTGTGTCCCTTGGCGTTTCTTGAGCCACAGTGGCATCACACCTGTGTCCCCCTGGTCATGGTGCCATCACCTGCATCCCTTTGTGTCCCTCTGGCCACAGTGCCCTCACACTTGCATCCCTTGGGGTCTCCATCCCTCGTCTGGCACCGCTGCCACCCCAAGTCACCCCCCTCAGCCCACCAGTGCCACCGGTGACAATGCCAGCAGCGTGCCATGTCCTCACACCCCACGTCCCCAGGGCTTGGCAGAGGGGCCTGTGGAAGGGACACTCCCACCCTGGCACGCCGAGTGCCACCCCCAGCAACCCAAGTGCCATCACGGCACACTGTGCCACTGCCCGGCGTGTGACACCGGCTGTCCCCACGCCGAGGGGCCCGGCTGCTCCCCGGGCTCACTGACCGGGCTGCGGTGTCACCGTCACCGGCTTAATTTGGCGCCCGCCCTCCAGGCGAGATTAATTAAGCCGATCCCTGTTCCTGCCCCGGAGGGACCTGCCTGTGCACTGGCAGCTGTCACCGTGTCACCGGGGCGTGGGGCCGCTGCTCTCTCGGTGGCGAGGCCGAGCTGCTGCTGGGGGGGAGCTGCTCAGCGTCGGGGGGGCCCAGGGACCCCCAGCTCTGCCAGGGTAGGGAGTGAGTGCCTGGGGAGCACCAATTCCAGGTGGAACATTCCAGCAGAGTGTTGGGGCCGGCTGGTTCCTGGTGCTGCCCCATCCGTGGGACGGGTGGTCGGAAGCACAGAGCTGGGACCAGCCCCCCCGACCTCCCTGGTCAGGGGTTATCCCTGGGGATAATTGCACCCGTTCCCCAAACGAGCTGCCAGGGCAGAAGCAGTTACAGAGGAGCTGGTGGGGCAGGAGAGCAGGAATGTGGGGGCAGGTGGGCACCACGCTGCCAATGTGGCTGTGGCACCATCTGAGCCCCCACATGCCCTGGGATGTAGGGATGGGGCTGGGAAGGCCGAGCACTGGTGGCTGAGCGGGTCTGAGGGATGTGGGGGTTTCTCAGGGCACAGCCCCTGTGGGGCTCTGCAGCCTCCTGAGGGTCTCTGGAGCACGGAAGGGATGGGAGCTGCCAGCTGCCACAGAGCAGGATGGCTCTGCTGGAGCACAGAGATGCCAAGACCTGGCATGGAAGATGGTCAACCTGTGACCATCCTCCTCCTCCTTCTCCTCCTGTGCCCAGCCCAGCGCCAGCACAGCTCTCTGGCCACATTCCCCTGCCAGCAGCATCCCCCAGTGATGGTCCCACACCCCTGCCAGGACTCCAAGTGTCCCCTGGGTGTTCCATCACTGGCACAAGGCCTGGCACATCCTGGAGAGGCAGCAGAGCCACTGTGGTGACATGTGGCACCGTCACGGAAGGCAGAACTGCAGCAGAGCCGGGCGTGGGGCTGCCCCCCAGGATGGGATTTGGGGGGGTTAATCCCAATCCCAGCCCAGCAGGACCCTGCCTTTGGGGTTTGGGGGGTTGATCCCAGCCTGGTGGGATCCTGCCCCTGGAGTTTTCAGGGTCAATCCTGGCCCAGCAGGACCCTCCCCATGGGATTTGGGAGGTCAATCCCAGTCCTGTGCTCTGGTCCAGGGGCACCTGCCCCTTTCCAGCTGGGATCCCGGCACCCATGGGAGGCTCCTACAGGACACCCGTGGGAGCAGACAGGGCCTATCCTTCCAGGGAACACACCATTAATTAGCATTATTAATTAATGCCTTATTTTGCAGTGCCCCCCTGTGCACCGGGCGCCTTCCAGCACTGAGGGCAAGGGGGGGCCCTGCCTGGGGGGATCCTCCTGGCACTGCAGCACAGCCAGAGCAGGAATGGGGCTGCCAAAGCACAGCCAGGTGCCGCTGGGCCCCTCCATGCCCATGCCAGGGGCTGTGGCACCAGCTTGGGACCCTGGGCACTCATCCGGGTGGTGCTGGATATTCCCAGGGATCCCCCAAGGTCAGTCCATCCTCGGCACCTGCCAGCGCCAGCTGGGGCCCAGGCCAAGCCCAGGCTTTGGTGGACCAAAAGCATCACCTGTGCAGGTGTTGGAGACAGCAGCGTGAGCCCCCTGAGGCTCTTCTGGCTCTTCCAGTGCTCCTCAAGTCCAGCCCTGAGCCCCCGATTCCAGGTGCTTCCGAGCAGCTGGTGGGTTGTCCTGGCGGTCCCCTGGCTTTTCGGTCCCACCCCAGCTCCCACGGCACCACCAGCCCCCCCTGTCAGATCCTTAAGGAGGAGTTACAAATCCCCTTCACCAAAGACCCCCCAAATTCCAAGGCCTGGGATCCGCTGCCATGGATCTCTGCCCGCTGACGTTCCCTGGGTGTCCATCACCTGCTTTCCAGCCTCCCGAGGGGCCTCCAGGCCAACACCTCTCAGGGACGGGACTGAGGACACACCGATCCCCGCTTGGCCCTGGCAGCCCCTGGCTGGGGAGGGTCCGGGGGCACTCCACACACGCCCTGAGGGGGGTACCCAGCAGGAAGAAGCTCCCGGAGACACCCTGGCAGTTGCCCGGGGGGTGGCAATGGCACCAGGGACCAGGGGGACAGAGCTGGCACAAACGTGGGGAGAAGGCATGGCTTGGCTTGGTCTGGCGTGGCCTGGCTTGGCATGGCTGTTTGGCAGGGCTTGGTATGGCACGGCATGGCTTGGCTTGACATGGCACAGCCCCTGACTGCACTTGGCTTGGCTTGATCTGGCACAGTCTGGCTTGGCGTGGCATGGCTTAGCTTGGCTTGGCACTGCACAGCCCTTGACTACACTTGGCTTGGCTTGGACCAGCCTGGCCTGGCACGGCTCAGCTTGGCACACCGTGGCACGGCCCTTGACCACACTTGGCTTGGGCCAGCCTGGCTTGGCACAGAACGGCTTGGCTTGGTCTGGCATGGCCTGGCTCGGCACAGCATGGCTTGGCACAACACGGCTCGGAACGGCACGGCTCGTCTTAGCTTAGCAAAGCCGAGCCCGGGCGGTCTGTCCGGCCCCCGGGCCGTGGTGCAGCCATTCTGCCCGTGCCGTGCCGTGCCCGTGCCCGATCCGTGCCGTGCCCGATCCCTGCCGTGCCGTGCCGTGCCCGTGCCCGATCCGTGCTGTGCCGTGCCCGTGCCCGATCCGTGCGGTGCCGTGCCCGTGCTGTGCCCGTGCCCGATCCGTGCCGTGCCCGTGCCCGATCCGTGCCGTGCCGTGCCCGTGCCGTGCCCGTGCCGTGCGGTGCCGTGCTGTGCCGTGCCCGTGCGGTGCCGTGCTGTGCCGTGCCGTGCCCGTGCGGTGCCGTGCCGTGCCCGTGCCGTGCCGTGCGGTGCCGTGCTGTGCTGTGCCCGTGCCCGTGCGGTGCCGTGCTGTGCCGTGCCCGTGCCGTGCCCGTGCGGTGCCGTGCTGTGCTGTGCCCGTGCCCGTGCGGTGCCGTGCTGTGCCGTGCCCGTGCCGTGCGGTGCCGTGCTGTGCCGTGCCCGTGCCGTGCCCGTGCCGTGCGGTGCCGTGCCCGTGCCGTGCCCGTGCCGTGCCGTGCCCGTGCCGTGCCCGTGCGGTGCCGTGCGGTGCCGTGCCCGTGCCGTGCGGTGCCGTGCTGTGCCGTGCCCGTGCCGTGCGGTGCCGCGGCGGGCGCGGCCGGCGGGCTCTAGGACCGCGCGGCGGGCTCGGTGCTGCAGTGGAGGCGGCGGCGCTGCGGGAGGAGGCCTGGCCGGGCAGCGCAGCGGCGGCGGCGGCTCGGCGGGGCTCGGCACGGCTCGGCGGGGCTCGGCGCCGGGCCCGCACCGGCCCAGGTAACCGGGACACGGGGCAGGGGCACACGGGGACAGCGGGACACGGGGACAGCGGGAGCGGCAGCCCCGGCCCCGCTCGGCTCCGCTCGGCTCGGGCACTCTCGGCTCCGCTCGGCTCCGCTCGGTTCGATTCGGCCGCCGCGTTCGGGGGGTTCGGCTCCGGCCGGTTCGGCTCGGCCGGGGCGTCCGGCGGGGTTCGGGTGTCCCCGGCCGGGCTCGGCTCCCTCCGGCGGGGCTTCGGGTCCCCCCGGCCGGAGTTCGGGTCCCCCCCGGGGGGGGTTCGGGTCCCTCCGGGGCGCTCGGCCCGGTCCGGGGCGGCCCCGGTGCCGCCGCGGTGTCTCCGCCGTCCCGGGCCCGCGGCAGGAAAACACGGCAGGGCCGGGCCCGCCGGGCCCCCCCGGGCCCGCGCCGCCCCCGCCCGGCCCGGCCCGGCCCCGCTCGGCCCCGCTCGGCCCGGCCGTGCGGGCGGGGGTGGCGGCGCGGCCCGGCCCGGCCCCCGCGGCGCCGCCGTGTCCTTGAGCGCCGCGCGGGCGGCTGAAGGGCAGCGGGGCCCCGTGGCACCGCCGGGTGTCCCCCCGGTCCCCTCCCGGCCCGCCGTGGCACCGCCGGGTGTCCCCCCGGGCGGACGCGGGGGCCCGGCCGTCCCTGCCCTGCCCGCGGCGGAGCCGCCCGGGGGGCCCGGCCGGCCCGGCCCTGCCCGAACTTCGGGGGTTTTGCACCAAAAATAGCCTCCGGGGGGGGGTTGAAGTGCCGCGGGACCGGGCGGAGGGGGCGGCGGGGCAGGGGCCTGGCAGGGCGCGGGGGGTGCCCATCCTGCCTGTTCCTGCCCGCTGCTTCCCGCTCCTGCCTCCCCTAAGCTGGGCCACCGCTTGCTTCCCCCTTTCCTCTCGCTTATCCCCCTTCCCACTCACTTCCCACTTCCTGCTCGCTTCCACCTTTCCACTCGTTTCCCCCTTCCTTCTCTGTTCCCCTTCCCTCTTGCTTCCCCCTTCCTGCTCTCGTCCCCCTTCCCACTCACTTCCCGCTTCCTGCTCACTTCCCCTTTCCTGCTCGTTTCCACCTTCCTTCTCCCTTCCCTTCCCACTCACTTCCCACTTCCTGCTCACTCCCCCTTCCCTTTTGCTTCCCCCTTCCCTCTGGCTTCTCATTTTCCTCTTCCTTCCCCATTGCTTCCCCTTCCCTCTCGCATCCCTCTTCCCACTCGCTTCCTCTTCCCTCTCGCATCCCTCTTCCCACTCGCTTCCCCCCCACTTCCCTCCATTCCCACTCACTTCCCACTTCCCGTTCGTTCCCACTACCCTCTCCCTTCCCCTTCACTTCCCACTTCCCTGTTGCTCCCCTTCCCCCTCACTCCCCCTTCCCTCCCACTGCTGTTTCCTCCCCCCCCTTTCCGGGGTGTTTCGCCTGCGCGAACCTGCGGGCAAATGAGATTTTCCTCCTCGCTCAGTTCCTCTTTCTGTGTTTCTGCCCTTTTGTGTGACGTCGCCGTTGTCACCGCGGGACCGGCCGCGTTCCGCGCTGGCTGTGCCACACCGGGCACCCGCATCCCAGGGAGCCCAGGAGCCCCCCAGGGAGCCCCCGGAGCTGGTGGGGACAGAGTGTGGGACCCGGCCCTGCTGCTCCTGGCAGCTCCCACGCCGGCTCCGGCCCCTCGTGCTGAGTCAGCTCCAAACTTCCCCGTGGAGCCGCTTTGGTGACACGCAGCTCTCTCGTGGAACGGCGGGATGTTGGTGCCCACCAGTGAGGCCGCAGCCCCGGTGTCCCTGGGCGTCCCTCGGGTGTCCCGGGCTGCCCACGTGCCCACAGTGCTGTCCAGGGTGGGCCACAGCTGGCCCCAAAACCCGGTGGCCGTGGAGCCCCGTGCTGTGCCGTGCCGTGCCGTGGCGGCCGCTCAGGGACCCTCAGGCGGTGGTTTTTGTGCAGGGAATTTTATTTCGGCGCATCCCTGCCCGACGCCTCCCCACGGGCCGTGCCCCGGCGAGGTGTGGCGCCCCGAGGGGAGCGCGTGGGCTTGGCAGGTCCCGCCGGCGCGTGCCGAGGACACGCGTGTGCCAGGCGCGCTCGTGCCGCGGCGGCTTCGGCTCTGCGGGAGGAGCCGGCGGCGTCGGGGCGTGTGGTTTGGTGGGATGGCTCCGGATCCCTCTCACCTCGAGGCCGCGGGTCGGTTTGGGCTCCCGGCGCGGGAGGGACTCACGGGCAGACTCTCCTTACCTGGCATTCGGGCCCAGCCGCCATCCCACTTCCCTGCCGTGGGGCTCGGCACGCGCCAGCACGTGCCGGCGGCGTTGGGCCCGTTCCCGCGGTTAACCGCCAGTCCCAGCTCACGGCCCATCCCCGATCCTGGTTTGGATCTCTCCGGCTCAGCTCCTGCCCCAGATCGGCACCCGGCTCTGCTTCCCATCAACCAGAGGGTCCCCATGGGGCCCGGGGTCTGCTCGCTGGGGTCACACCGTCTCCCAGACTTTTTTCCCCAGTGACTGAGCACATGGAGCTCCTGGGTGTTCCTGGTAAGATGTTCCCGGTGCTCTGGCAGCTCCTTCATCATCCTGCTGGGTGATCCACGCTGTCCCACCTGCCGAGCGGCACCACGGCCCAGCACAGGGGTCTGTGACACACGTCCCTGTCCCATCCCACCCCATCCCACCCCACCCCGTGCCAGAGGCAGTTTGGTCTGCCCTCGGCCTTGGCAGCATTCCCACACCAACAGATCCAGCTGTGGGGCTGCAGCCGGTGTTTGGGTTTGGCTGTGGTGTGGAGCAGTGCAGGGCTCTGTGTCGCTCCTGGGGGTGCCATGGGGTGCCATGTGTTCTGTGGGGGCAGTGCATCACTCCTTGGGGTGCCAAGGGGTGCAGGAAGTCACTCCCTGGGGTGCCATGGGGGTGCAGGGGTGCCAGGCATCATTCCCTGGGGTGCTGTGGGGTGCTGTGTGTTGCTCTCTGCAGTGCTGTGGGGTGCAGTGGTGCCTTGGGGTGCTGTGCATCACTCCTTGGGGTGCAATGAATCACCCCCTGGGACACTGGGGTGCAGTAGTGCTGTGGGGTGCAATGAATTGCACACTGGGGTGCCATGGGGTGCAGTATGTCACTCCTTGGGGTGCAGTGGGGTGCAGTGTGTCACTCCTTGGGGTGCAGTGGGGTGCAGTATGTCACTCCTTGGGGTGCAGTGGGGTGCAGTGTGTCACTCCTTGGGGTGCAGTGGGATGCAGTGTGTCACTCCTTGGGGTGCAGTGGGACACTGTGGGGTGCAGTAGCACCGTGGGGTGCAATGAATTGTGCACTGGGGTGCCATGGGGTGCAGTATGTCAGTCCTTAGGGTGCAGTGGGACACTGTGGGGTGCAGTAGCACCGTGGGGTGCAATGAATTGCGCACTGGGGTGCCGTGGGGTGCAGTGTGTCACTCCTTGCAGTGCCCTGGGGTGCAGTGGTGCCCTGGGGTGCAGTGGGGTGCACCATGGGGCTGGCTCAGTGCTGCCGACCACCCCAGGGTCCTCCCTCCGTGCCAGGTCTATTTTTAGGATCACCCCAGCTCTCGCCAGCATCTCATGCCCCCAGACCCCCCGTCCCCCGGTGGCAGTGGCTCCCAGAGCTGTGGCACATGTGTCCGTCCGGGCACTCCCCCCGACACGTGCCCCCCCCCGCCCCCCGCAGCAGCCAAACATTTCACCGCTAAATTACAACCCCGGGGATGAGGTCACGGCCACGGTGGTTTCGGCACAACCATCTGTCAGAGGCAAAATTTCGGGCCCCGGGGGACGCCCACCCTGTTCCCGGCCCCCCCTGCCAGCAGCACCCACGCCGCGGGGGGCTGGGGGGGGCACCCCGGCGTGAGTCAGGGGTGGGGGGCGCAGGGGGTGGGGGTGACTCACGGCCGCCGCTCCTGTCCCCTCTGAGTCAATCCCGGAGTTGTTCCCTGGCGCTGGGAAGGAGGAGGAGGAGGAGGAGGAGGAGAGGAGGAGGAGGAGGAGGAGCGCGGTGGTGGCAGTGACTCAAAGTGACAACAACAATAATAATACGCTGCGGCACTTGTCACGGGAGAGGCGCTTGGACGGGGTCCCTCGTGCGTCCCCTCCGCCGCCGGCGCACGGGGGACCCCGGCCAACCCGGGGGGTGTCACCGCCGCGCGCGGGGTCACCTCGGGACAGGGGGGCACTGCGGTGACGGTGTCCCCCCGCCCGCCACCAGCGCGGGGGGCTGCCGGAGACCCCGCTCGCCGTCACCTAAAATGGCCGGTTAGGTCCCTGCAGGTTCCCGGCTGCGGCACGGCACCGCCGAGGTCCCTAAATATAAAAAAAAGGCGGGATTTCGGGTGGGTTTTCCATTTTCGTGCCGGTGGCTGCCGCGTGTCTCGCCCAGCCGGCGCAGGTATAACCTACTTCGGAACGCCTCTGCCGCCGCGGCGAGCGTGACTCGCCGGTCCTGCGAGCGGGAGCGGCTCGGCGGCCACGGCCGGGGCCCCGCTCCCCCCCGGCCGCAGGGGCAGCGCCGGGCACGGGCACGGCGGGCGCTCCGTCCCCGCCGAGACGCCGGGCGAGGGTCCGCCAGCACCGCCAAGCCGAGCTCGGCCGGGGGATGCCGCGGAGGAAGGTCCCGGCGGCCTAAAGGCGAGGGCACGGTGCGAACCCCCCGTCCCGTCGCGATCCGTCCCGTCCCGCCCCGCCGCGGCGGGCGAGCGCAGCCGGGTAAGAGCGCGGGGCGCGGGGCGGGAGCACCGCACGGGGCCGGGAGCACCGCACGGGGCCGGGAGCACCGCACGGCCCCTCCGGCGGGGCCCCGCGGGTGGGCAGCGGGAGGCGGCCGGGGCCGCGCCGGCTCCCCGGCTTTGTTCGGCGGCCGGGGCTGCCGCGGGGTTTGTGCGCAGAACAACTATTTTTAGAGCGTTTGGAGACCATGTTGGCTGGAAGCGAATCAAAGCCGCGAGCTGCCCCTTTGGCAGCGCCGGCCGGGCTCGGCCGCCGCCGCACCGGGGCGCCCGGAGGGGCTCAGCCGCCCCCCGGGGCTGCCGGAGGGACCCCGGTGCCGGGGCGAGGGGCCGGGGGCTGCGGGAGGTGCCGGCGGCAGGGCAGGGCAGGGACCCCCGGCGGCGGGGACCCCGCGGCGCCTCCGGGCGCGGGGATCCCCCGGGGGGCAGCCGGGGTGTCCCCGGTGCTTCCCGGCCGCGCGTGTCCGCCCGTGCCCGCGGCCGGGGCTGGGGGGCACGGCGGGCTCGGGCAGGGTGGGGGGTTCCGCCGGCGGCACCCCGGGGAGGCAGCTGGCGTGGGGACGCGGGGTCGGGGTGCCACACCGTGCCGTGCCGTGCCGTGCCGTGCCCACGGGTGTGCCGTGATGCTGGCGGCACAGCCGCTGCCAGCGGGGACCGGGAGCGGGGGCCTGGGGGCGCTGGGGATGCGGGGTGCCAGCCCTGGCCCCTCACCCAGGGCACCGCGGTGCCCGGGGGCCGAGTGCCGGGCCGGGGGCGAGGGGACCCGCGGGGAGCAGGCACGGGCACCCCCGTGCCGCGGAGGGGAGGGTGACACGGATGGGGCCGGGGCTTCACCGGGTGCTCCCCGAGCTGGGGAGGGAGCGGGATGGGGAACCCCTCCCCAGTGCCCACTGGCTGGCACGGGGCTGTGCCTGGGGTGGGACCTGCACCCCACACCCCAGTCTGACATCCTGCACCCCCAGATCCCAGCCTGCACCCAGCACCCCCAGCCCACAGCCTGTACCTGCCCCCCCACCCCGCACCCTGTACCCCCAGCCCGCACCCCGCGCCCACACCGCTGTCCAACCCTCCAGCTCCCACTGCCCACTGCCCACATCCCCCCCCAGCCCAGCCTGTGAGAGGGGCCCTTCGGGGGGTGCTGGGGCGTGGAGGGCCGAGTCCCCCCCATCTGCCCTCCCCCGGCCCCCAGCCCAGCACCCCGAACCCCCGGGGGTCCCCCTGCCTGCGGCAGGGAGAGGCTGCAGCCCCCGGCCCCCCCAGCAGCCCCCGCCGCAGTGGCCGCAGGCCGGGGGGGACACGTTGGGGTGGGAGCGGTGTTGGGAGCAGCGCCCTGCTCGCCCCGGCCCCCCCGAGCCCCCCCAGCCCCCGCCCGAGCCCCCCGCCCGCCGCTGGGAACGGCTGCGGCTGGAAAGCTCTAGAAACAAATTGCAGCTCCGGTGCCAAAGGCAACAGCAGCCCCGGCCATGGCGAATGCAGCGTTTGCCATAGCAACAGGTGCCGGCTGGCGCCTCCCCCGCGGCCCCCCCGGCACCCCGCGAGCGGCACCCCCGGCCCCCCACACCCCGCACCGTGCACCCCCCACACCCTGCACCCCGCAGCCCCCCAGCCCCCCGCAACCAGCAGCACCCCTCACCCGGCGTCCTCATCCTGCACCCTACACCCCACACGTCCTACACCACGTGGCCCCCGGGCTCCCCCCCCATCCCACACCGTACACCCCGCACACCCTACAACCTGCAACCCCCCCAGACCTCCACACCTTGCAGCCCACACCCCACAACTGGCACCATGCACCCCGCGCTGTACACCCCACCCCCTGCATTGTATACCCCACACACTGCACCCCACACTGTCCACCCCACACTCCCCACACCCTGCACCCCACACACCCGCACCGTCCCCCCTGCACACCCTGCGTGTTGCCCCCTGCACCACGTATGTCCTGCACCCCACACCATGCACCCAGCACCTCGCACCCCTGCACCCCACACCCAGCATCCCACACCCCACACCTCACACTGCACACCCCACACCGCACACCCCACAACACTGCACACCCCACACTGCACACCCCACACTGCACACCCCACAGCACTGCACACCCTACACTGCACACCCCACACTGTGCATCCCACACCGCACACCCCACACTGCACACCCCACAGCACTGCACACCCTACACTGCACACCCCACACTGTGCATCCCACACCGCACACCCCACACTGCACACCCCACACTGTGCATTCCACACCGCACACCCCACAACACTGCACACCTCACAGCACTGCACACCCCACACCGCACACACCACAACACTGCAACACCCACAGCAATGCACACCCCACACCGCACACCCCACAACACTGCACACCCTACACTGCACACCCCACACTGTGCATCCCACACCGCACACCCCACACTGCACACCCCACACTGCACACCCCACACTGTGCATCCCACACCGCACACCCTACACTGCACACCCTACACTGTGCATCCCACACCGCACACCCTACACTGCACACCCTACACTGCACACCCCACAACACTGCACACCTCACACTGCACACCCTACACTGTACACCTCACACTGCACACCCTACACTGCACACCCCACACCGCACACCCCACAC